TTTTGACGCTTTTTTACAGCAAACTCATTCGAGGTCGTTTTTTTTATTCGTATTATCATGGGTAATATATGTATAAAACAATTTTTGGTAACAATTAATCCACCAAGGATGACGGAATGCTGATTGTATAGGTTTATAATTCAGAATAAGCCTCGCTCGAGGATACCGATGGAAAATTGCTCTTTCTTAATGGTTCTCGGTTCTTACGTCGTTTAGTTGATTGAAGCAAATCATATCTCCAGCCAAAACAGAGAAAGCATTCCCTCGATCATCTCGTTTGTGGTTATACTCAATAGATTTGTAATAATTGCTAGTTGGCTAAGAGAAATTGCCACAGAGCGGATTAGGAGAAACAATTTATTTGACGCCTTCTAGTAGCACAACCATTCTTTGTAGCTTTTTACTGGCAGGTAGGGTAGGTGAAAGAACTTTATATCAATTAAAGTAGTATCGTAAGTAATGTGCTAATAAAACACTTTTTGCTGGATCTTAACTTCCAAGGACGACTGAATACAGTTAAATTGCCTAATTCACAAGAAATGCGTGATTTTTGTCCATATTTGGCAAACTAGAGCCTCGCGGAGGATACCGATGGCAAACTGCTCCTTTCTACGTTGCTTATTCAAATGAAGTAGACCATCTCCAGGCGATTCCGTTCATAATTAAACTCACGCAAGTTGGTATGAATGCTGGTGAGTAAAGGGAAACTACATCAGGACAGATGGGGAGAAACAACTTTTTTGTTACTTTTTTCTAGGATTATGATTCAAAGTCGATTTTTACTAGTAATATCGCAAACAGTGTGTGCAAAAAAGGATTTTTTTTGCAAGGATGGCTATATTTGGCTAACTAGAGCCTCACGAGGGGATGCAAATGGCAAAATGCTGCTTCTCAATGATCCTTATTCTTACGTTGTTTGGTCAAATGCAGCAGACGATCTCTTGAGGGATCCAGAGTATACGTTTACTTGGTCATCCCGTCCGTGGTATGCAGTGTCGAAGACTAGAGGACTTAGCCGGAGTCTGGAGGTGGCATGAGGCGACTCTTGCGAATTGCTCGCTCCGCCCGTACGAATGTTCATCTTCATCCTCATCATCATAATCATCATCATCATCATCATCATCATCATACCCTTTTTCGCCATCATGTGCGTTTAGAGCCAGATTGCGACGAGTCACCACCGAGGTCACTTCGCGACTCTCGACAACTCCTGACCCTTCTACCTTGGAGTCCGATGCACAGTCTGTACTATGACATTTTTAAGGATCCAGTTGCCCTCGAATTTCTGCCAACTTGAAGGCTTAGAAACCCAGTCTCTGGCTTCAAGAAACAGTTGTCCTTGTTGTCATGATCCTAATGGACGAGGCGAATTTCAACTCGGCAGACTTAAGTTGCACATGAGTCGTTTGATGATGCATCTGGGCTCAGAGACTGTCTAGAAGTCTCAGCCTTTTAAACCAAAATTACACTACTTTTGCCTAATTTTCATCGCAGAGCCAGAATTTCGGCCTCCTTCAGGCAGGTTGTCATGGTCTTTTCCGGACATCTGGCCTAAAGAGGTTCCAAGACGGCCGAATCTGTAGAGTCCAACGTCGCTGCTCAAAGTCATCGCCCTTTTTTTGTTCAGGTTGGAGATGTTATGGGTCAATAATTGCATATTTGAAGTGATTCGGGGACACCAAAACCCACGAGTCACCATGCCACATGGTACCGACCTAATTATGGAAGATTTCTCTTCACTCATCAATACAATTGGCCAATGACGCGAGCTATGCAGTCAGTCAACCGCTCGGAGATATGGGAACCAGCATTTCCTGTCAGCCAATGTGTGTCTATCTGTGTGATCACACGTGGGGGCATCATGTGTGAATATAAATATAGGAAGTTAAGACAAAATGTGTGTGTGTGCTTGGTTATTATTACACGAGCCTTCAGCATTTAGGAATATGCCAATGGGAAGTTAAGACAAGATATATGTGTGTTTGGTTATGGTTACTAGTGTGTACAGCATGTGTGATTATGCCTATGCGAAATTAAGACAAGATGTGTCTTTTTGGGTATAATTACACGTGGGTTCGACTTTTGGGAATATGTCTATAGGAAATTAAGGCAAGATGCGTGTGTGTGCGTGGGTATGGTTACACGTGTGCTCGGCATTTGTCAATATGCATGTGGGAAGTCGGGACATGATTTGTGTGTATGTGTGTTTGCGTGCTCGTATGGTTACACTGCTCAGCGTTTGTCAATATGCTTATGGAAAGTCAAGACAAGATGTGTATGTGTGTTCGAGTTTATGTAATTGCATGTGTATGTGCATTGGTGAGTGAATATCAGCCTCGGTCTCTTTGGCTCCAAGAGACTGAGCGGCCCAAGAGCTCAAGTAAGGAACGAGCGTGTGGGAGTGTACAGACTGAAAAGTGTCCAAGACACTTTGAATATGAAAGTGTCATCCAACTGGCTCGGGAATTTCTTGCAGATCACAACTGCCCAAAGCCCTTCTAGCGCAGATCGAGTCGACAT